GAAACCCCCGTCTCTACTAAAAATACAAAATTAGCCAGGTGTGGTGGTGCATGTCTGTAATCCCAGCTACTTGGGAGGCTGAGGCAGGAGAATCACTTGTACCTGGGAGGCAGAGGTTGCAGTGAGCCAAGATCGCGCCATTGCACTCCAGCCTGGGCAAGAGCAAAACTCCATCTCAAAAACAAACAAACAAACAGAAATTATATTGTATAAGCCAAGAACATACAAACAGCATGAACTAAAAAAAAAAAACAAAACACTGTCCTCAACTTAGGTGTATGTAAGGATGTCTTGCTCTGCAAACTGGGCTAGTTAACAATAAAAGTGGCTTGAATGATGATGACATTGATGATTTGAATAAAATAAAATTTGAAAAAGCATTTCTAAATAAATGTTTTATATGTGATTTAAAATGTTACTAAATAATATGAGACTTACATTTTCCACTAAGTAGGTGTTTCAAGTAGACATCTTAATACTTCATATAAGGTTGACCAAAAACTATCTTTTAGTTCTTCTCCTTGGGATACATAAGGCATTGCCTCACATATTAAAATGTGCAGCTGAGTGCAGTGGTTCACACCTGTAATCTCAGCACTTTGGGAGGCCAAGGCGGGAAGATCTTTTGAGGTCAGGAGTTCGAGACCAGCCTGACCAACGTGGTGAAACCCCGTCTCTACCAAAAATACAAAAATTAGCCAGGCGTGGTGGTGCTTGCCCATAATCCCAGCTACCCCAGAGGCTGAGGTGGGAGGATCGCTTGAACGCAGGAGGTGGAGATTATAGTGAACCGAGATTGCACCACTTCACTCCTCCAGAAAAAAAAAAAAAAAAAAAAAAAAGTTGAAGGGGAGTAAAATTCACATTTTTTTTTTTTTTTTTTTTTTTTTTTAAGACGGAGTCTCATTCTGTCACCCAGGCTGCAGTGCAATGGCGTGATCTCGGCTCACTGCAACCTCTGCCTCCTGGGTTCAAGCACTTCTTCCTGCCTCAGCCTCTCGAGTAGCTGGGATTACAGGTGTGAGCCACTGTGCCTGGCTGTAAATTTATACATTCTGATGGTGGTGGCAGTAGTGGTGATTCCAGGTGAAAAAAAGTCAGATTTGAAGTAGGTTGAGATTTGAAGGAGAGTCAATTGGAGATTGCTTGGGAGACAAGTAGTGGGAATAAATGGCACTAGATTGGAGCCCCCAAACCCATGTATCACTGGGATTATCATTTCTAGGAAGAAAGAGGAACAATATGTACAAAGATATGGAAGAATGAAACCTTAGGGAAAGGTAAAGTTTCTTTTTGTATCAGAGGTAATAACTGCAGTGATTTGCCACTTTTAGTTACTAATTCACTAAATTTGACAAGCTGATTCAGGACAGTTATTCTTCGCAAGGGACTGGGCGGAAAATACCAGAATGAAAGAGTTTTTGTTTGTATTTTAATCTGTTTATAGAGAGGAGGTCTTGCCATGTTGCCCAGGCTGGTCTTAAACCCCTGGCCTCAAGGGATTCTTCCACCTTGACCTCCCAGAGGACTAGGATTACAGGTGTGAACCACTGTGCCCAGCCTTAAAGAAGGATTTTCTTTTAAGTTAGTTTTAATTTTTTTGTAGAGACAGGGCCTAACTATGTTGCCTAGGTCAGTCTCAAATTCCTGGCCTCAAGCAATCCTCCTACCTCAGTCTCCCAAATTGCCAGGATTATAGGTATGAACCACACTGAACCCAGCCAAAGGTTTTATTTATTTATTGAGACAGCGTCTTGCTCTGTTGCTCAGGCTGGAGTGCAGTGTCTGAATATCAGCTCACTGCAACCTGCGCCTCCTGAGTTCAAGTGATTCTGGTGCCTCAGCCTCCCAAGTAGCTAGGACTACAGGTCATGTACCGCCATGCCCGACTGGCTAATTTTGTTTTAGTAGAAACAGGGTTTCGCCATGTTGCCCAGGCTGGTATTAAACTCTTAGCCTCAAGCGATCCACCTGCCTCGGCCTCCCAAAGTGCTGGGATTACAGGCGTGAGCCGCTGCGCCCAACCCTGCCAAGGGTTTTTTTTGTTTGTTTTGTTTTGTTTTGTTTTGTTTGAGACTGAGTTTCACTCTTGTTGCCTAGGCTGGGTGCAGTGATGTAATCTTGGCTCATTGCAACTTCCGCCCTCTGGGTTCAAGCAATTTTTCTGCCTCAGCCTCTTGAGTAGCTGGGATTACAGGTGCCCACCACCACACCCAGCTAACTTTTTGTATTTTTAGTAGAGATGGTGTTTCATCATGTTGGTCAGGCTGGTTTCAAATTCCTGACCTCAGGTGATCCACCCACCTTGGCCTCCCAAAGTGCAGGGATTACAGGCATGAGCCACCGCGCCCAGCCCTGGCCAAGGGTTTTAATAACCAATGGTTAATACAGTTTTATGATACTCTCTGAGCAAGAGTAAAACCTAATTCCCAAAAACCCACTTAATCCTATTTCTTTTTTATGTATTAAAAATGTTTTAAAAGGATAATAACAAAGAACACTGTAACATTCGTCTATGTATCCACTACCCAAAATGAATAAATAGTATCATACCTATTTTCCTCCCTTTCTCATTCCCTTCAGGCATCGCTTTTTTATTAGCCTGCTTTCATTTTTTTTCTTAATTTTTAGTTTAATTTTTTGAGACGGAGTCTCACTCTGTCACCCAGGCTGGAGTGCAGTGGTGCAATTTCAGCTCACTGCAACCTCCGCCTCCTGGGTTTCAGGGATTTTCCTGTCTCACCCTCTGAGTAGCTGGGACTACAGGCCCATGCCACAATGCCTGGCTAATTTTTGTATTTTTAGTAGAGATGGGGTTTCACCATGTTGGCCAAGCTGCTCTCGAACTCCTGACCTCAAGTGGTCTGCCCGCCTAGGCCTCTCAAAGTGCTGGGATTACAAGCATGAACCACTGCACCTGGCCTAGTCTGCTTTTAATTCTTTGACTATGATGTATTTACACACACACACACACACACATACATACATATATCTATACACACATACATATACATATGAACATTTACATATATATGGTATATGGTATTTCTTAATGTTTTAAAAATTCATGTAATTTGTTTCATGTGGCACTTACTTTCCTGCATCTTGTTTTGTTTCCTTAACTTTGTTTTCATAATTTGTTCATCTAGATTAAGTTCATTGATTTATTTTATTTTCTTAATTTTTAAAATTATTATTATTATTTTTTAAGACAGAGTCTCGCTCTGTCACCCAGGCTGGAGTGCAGTGGCACAATCTTCGCTCACTGCAGCCTCCACCTCCCGGGTTCAAGCGATTCTCCTGCCCCAGCCTCCTGGGTAGCTGGGATTACAGGCGCATACCACCACACCAGGCTAATTTTTGTATTTTTATTAGAGACAGGGTTTTGCCATGTTGACGTGGCTGGTCTCAAACTCCTGACCTTAGGTGATCCACACACCTCAGCCTCCCAAAGTGCTGGGATTACAAGTATGAGCCACTGGCCCAGCAAGTTCATTCATTTAGCCTACTGAATGGTGTTTCATCACATGAATACACCCCAATTTGCTTATCCATTTGCTACTGATCGACATTTACATTGTTTTTAGTGTTTCATTATTACAAACACTACATTTCAGGGAATATCCTCCAACAGGTCTCCTAGTGCTAATTAATGGATGAGAGCTTTTTTTTTTTTTCTCAGCTCACTGCAAGCTCCACCTCCCGGGTTCACGCCATTCTCCTGCCTCAGCTGGGACTACAGGCGCCCGCCACCTCGCCCGGCTAGATTTTTGTATTTTTTAGTAGAGACGGGGTTTCACCAGGTTAGCCAGGATGGTCTCGATCTCCTGACTTCATGATTCGCCCGTCTCAGCCTCCCGAAGTGCTGGGATTACAGGCTTGAGCCACCACGCCTGGCCGAGAGTTTCTATTAAGGAATGTTTTTAGAGGTTTTTTTTGAAACCACTATGGAAATATGTTTTATATTAAGACCCAGTTCATAGATGAAATAAAAATTTTACAAAATAATACCTGCCCTTGCTATATGCACTCTATTTCCTACTCTCTTGCATTCTGTCCTATTTCATTTTTGTAAAATGCTGGACATGACTCACTACATTGATTTTATGACTCACTAATGGATTGAAAAACGATGCTCTAAGGCATTTATCTGGAAGTAGACTTTCTAGATCAAAGAATAAGTGCATTTTCAACTTGAGTAGATATTATCAAGTTGCTTTCCAAAGTGGGTGTATCAGTTTTACAGGATATCAGAGTCCTAATTTTTCCATGTCCTCACCCCACACTTAAAATGGTCAGGATTTTAGATTATTGATAGTCCTGTAGATGTGAAACAAATATCATTGTCAGTTTAATTTGGAAAAAATTAGCCAGGCGTGGTGGCATGTGCCTGTAGTCCCAGCTACTTGGGAGGCTGAGGTGGGAGGATCACCTGAGCCCAGGAGGTCAAGGCTGCAGTGAACGTGATTGGGCCACTGCACTCCAGCCTGGGTGACAGAGTGAGACTTGGTCTCATAAAGAAAAAAAAAAAAAAGTTTTTTAGATGGTAGTTTTAAATATTTATAATAGTCAATTTAATCAAAATGGTCAATTTTTACTTTTGCTTTTTCATAATTTTATTGTTAAATTTTTATGTTGATTATAAAAATACTATATATTTTTTCAAATAATTTTGTTGTTGTTGTTGTTTTTGAGACAAGGTCTCACTCTGTCACCCAAGCTGGACTGCAATGGTGCAATCTTAGCCCACTGCAACCTCCACATCCTGGACTCAAACGGTCCTCCTGCCTCAGCCTCCCAAGTAACTGGACTACAGGCATGCGCCACCATGCCTGGCTAATTTCTGTATTTTTTGTGGAGACAGGGTTTCACCATGTTGCCCAGGCTGGTCTCACACTCCTGGACTCAGGTGATCCACCTGCCTCGGCCTCCCAAAGTGCTGGGATTACAGGTGTGAAACACTGTACTCAGCCTTTTCAAAAAAAAAAAATTTTTTTTTTTGAAATATGGAATGCTTCATGAATTTTTGTGTCATCCTTGCACAGGGTCCATGCTAATCTCTGTATTGTTCCAGTTGTAGTATATGTGCTGTCAAAGTGAGCACCAGATAATTTTGAAGTTGGTTGGTATTTTGTTTTGTTTTGTTTTTACAACTTTAGATATTTAATTGCCCTGGAGTTGATTTTTGCCTATCCTTTTATGTCTTCTGATACTTCAGCCCCTCATTATGTGATTCTTCACCAACTTGGGGACTCTGCTTCTCCTCTCCTCCCTCAGAGTGTTTTTCTTGAAGAGAATGGGAATACAAAAGGCCCCAGGCTTAGAATAGCTCTTAGAAGGCCTTTAAAGAAGCAAGTGGGAGGGCTGGGCACACCCAGCCAAGAAGTAGCCTTTGATTTTTGTAATTGCAGTCATCAAAAAGCATCATCAAAGAACTTTTATCAGACTGGGTGCGGTGGCTCACGCCTGTAATTCCAGCCCTTTGGGAGGCCAAGGTGGGCGGGTCAACTGAGGTCAGAAGTTCGAGACCAGCCTGGCCAACATGGTGAAATCCTGTTTCTACTAAAAATACAAAAATTAGCTGGGCATGGTGGCATGCACCTGTAATCGCAGCTACTCGGGAGGCTGAGGCAGGAGAATTGCTTGAACCCGGGAGGTTGCAGTTAGCTGAGATCACGCCGCTGTATTCCATCCTGGGTGACAGAGTGAGACTCTGACTCAAAAAAAAAAAACCAGAAAAACCAGAAAAGTTTTTATCAGTGATTGCTTGCAATGGGCAATTAAGGTAGACACTGAACTAAATTTAGAATGTATTATTCACAAATAGAGTCTAAGAAGTTATACTCTGAAAATTAATAAAGCAGATAAGCAAAGGACAAACCATATAACAATAAAAAAGGTAGAGCAATCTAGAACTATTGTAGATAGTAAAGAATTAACATCAAACACATCAAAGTGCAATTCAAGGATAAAGGCATCACTGGGTAACGAGCAGTGCTTAGTATGTATTTGTTATAGGGGCTCCAAGTTCAGGGAAACTGTCATCAATCGACTAGGGAGGGTGGGCCTCTTCTGACTTCCCCCATCCTCTCCTCTTCCATCCTCCACACATGTGCCCCCCTCCGAGCTTTTTCTCCTCCAAGCAACATAAGCCTTACTAACGCTTGAAATCAGAGGAGGTTTTTCTTTGTGTTAGTACTCAGCTCTCAATAAATGGACCTTTACCCAGCATCAGCAGGAACCACCCTCAGGAGCCACTTTGTGCTGCCTGGCACGTCCACAGCAATTAGAGCAAAAGGACAGAGTTAAGGAAACTCTTTGAGGAAAATTTTCCCCACCCAACTTTGGCAGGGTCACCTGGGAGCCCTCTCATCAGTATTGCTGTTCACTGTGGTACCCCCATTGTTCCACTAGCACCATGTACTGAACTTCCTCTGTGTTCAATTCCTATAAAAGAAAGGAAGCCCTTGCCTCAAAGTGCTCTCAATTTATTTTTATTATTTTTTATTTTTTGAGATGGAGTCTCACTCTGTCCCCCAGGTTGGAGTGCAATGGCGTGATCTCAGCTCATCACAACCTCCGCCTCCCAGGTTCAAGAGATTCTCCTGCCTCAGCCTCCCTAGAAGCCGGGATTACAGGGGCTCGCCATCATACCCAGCTAATTTTTGTATTTTTAGTAGAGATGGGGTTTCACCATTGTTGGTCAGGCTGGTCTCCAACTCCTGATCTCAGGTGATTCCCTGCCTTGGCCTCCCAAAGTGCTGGGATTACAGGCATAAGCTACTGCGCCCACCCACACTCTCAATTTAAATACATTTGCACATTCAACAAGACTCCTAAATGTCTTACCTAGCTGGATCAACATTAGAAAGGCCTCAAGGATTTTGCGGTTCGATATCACTGTCATAAAAATTGTTTCAATGTAGAAAAAAAGGTTAACATATTTCATACATATTCATTAAGAAATGTACATGGGCTGGATGCAGTGACTCACCCTTGTAATCTCAGCACTTTGGGAGGCCAAGGTGGGTGGATCACTTGAGGTAAGGAGTTCAAGACCACCCTGGGCAACATGGTGAAACCCCATCTCTACTAAAAATACAAAAGTTACTCAGGCATGGTGGCATGCACCTGTAATCCCAGCTACTCAGGAGGCTGAGGCAGGAGAATTGCTTGAACCTAGGAGGCAGAGGTTGCAGTGAGCTGAGATTGTACCACTGCCCTCCAGCCTGGGCAACAGAGTGAGACTCTGTCTCAAGAAACAAAACGAAAAGTGGCTGGGCGCGGTGGCTCACGCCTGTATTCTCAACACTTTGGGAGGCTGAGGCGGACGGATCACCAGGTCAGGCATTAGACCAGCCTGGCCAACATGGTGAAATTCTAACTCTACTAAAAAAAAATATATACACACACACACACACACACACACACACACACACACACATATATATATATAAATTAGTCGGGTGTGGTGGCCCACACCTGTAATCCCAGCCACTCAGGAGGCTGAGGCAGGAGAATTGCTTGAACCTGGGAGGCAGAGATTGCAGTGAGCCAAGATCGCACCACTGCCCTCCAGTGTGGGTGACAGAGCTAGATTCCATCTCAAAAAATAATATAAACAAACAAACAAAAAACAAAAGTCAATGAGTGAGGTCTTTAACCATCTCTTCTGAAATAGTCCTGATCTCCTACCTATAGCTCTTGCTGCTCCATTTCCTGATTTTTAAATTTGTTTTTTAATAAAATTTAATGATCTGTACTTATTGATGTACACTTATTGACTAGTTGTTGTCTGTCTGCCCCACAGAATATAGGTTTTCAGAGAACAGGAACTTTTTATGTCTTTATCATTGCTATATCCCACTGCCCAGAATCAGTGCCTGGAACATAGTAGATCCTTTACAAATAGTGCACTTGTTGAATGAAACTGAATTAAATGAACATATATGTTATATATCCTTACTGCATTGATTGGTATATGAGAAAATTAAACAGAAGAAACTAACAGCAAGATAAGTAGTGTCCTAGACTCCAGGAAATCTTTCCAGACTAATCCTATTCAGCATTAGAAGTACAGTCATAGGCCGGGCGGGGTGGCTCACGCCTGTCATCCCAGCACTTTGGGAGGCCAATGTGGGCGGATCACCTGAGGTCAGGAGTTCGAGACCAGCCTGGCCAACATGGTGAAACCCTGTCTCTACTAAAAAAATACAAAAATTAGGCCGGGCACGGTGGCTCATGCCTGTCATCCCAGCACTTTGGGAGGCCGAGGCGGGCGGATCACGAGGTCAGAAGTTCAAGACCAGCCTGGCAAACATGGTGAAGCCCCATCTCTCCTAAAAATACAAAAATTAGATGGGCATGGTGGTGGGCGCCTGTAATCCCAGCTACTTGGAAGGCTGAGGCAGAATCACTTGAAACCGGAAGGTGGAGGTTGCAGTCAGCCGAGATCATGCCACTGCACTCCAGCCTGGGCAAAAGAGTGAAACTCCGTCTCAAAAAACAAACAACAAACAAACAAAAAAACAAAAAAGAAAATACAAAAATTAGCCAGGCTTGATGGTGCGCACCTGTAATCTCAGCTATTTGGGAGGCTGAGGCAGGAGACTTGCTTGAATCTGGGTGGTGGAGGTTGCAGCGAGCCTAGGTCGAGGCACTGCACTCCAGCCTGGGTGACAGAGTGAGACTGTCTCAAAGAAAAAAAAAAGTGCAATCATTCTGAATCTCTTACTCTGCCCCTTGAGAAGACTCCCCCACCAACCTCTTTTTCAGTTCAGGTGCCTCAAGCAGGGCTGACCCCACCCTGCCTCCAAGCATCAGCTTGTGTCCCAGGCACCCCATGGCCACTGTTTTTGGTTTGGTACTGGCTCATGACTCAAGCTAGGTAGCAGGCAGAGCTTTCTGTGTTAGTCTGGAAAGACTTCTTGGAGTCTAGGCTAGGACACTACTCATCTTTTTTGTTTTGTTTTGTTTTTGTTTTTGTTTCGAGACAGAGTCTTGCTCTGTTGCCCAGACTGGAGTGCAGTGGTGCAATCTCACTTCAACCTCTGCTTCCCAGGCCCATGTGTTCCTCCCACCTCAGCCTCCCAAGTAAGTTTCCCTGGGACTTTTGCTGGAACTATAGGAAAAAGGATCAAGTCAGCCCAGTGCAGATGGTGGTCATTGTTCTACCATGCAGGGAAACCTCCCTGAGAACAAAACCACACTGATTCTAAAGCAGAGACTAGAGAGTGAGAAATAGAAAGAAAGAAACAGGGCCTGGTACAGTGGCTCTAGCCTGTAATCCCAGAATTTTGGGATGTTGAGGCAGGAGGATCGCTTGAAGCCAGAAGTTTGAGATCAGCCTGGGCAACAAAATGAGACCCTGTCCCTATTACAAAAAAAAAAAAAGAGAAGGAGAAGGAGGGGCTGGGGAGGAGGAGGAGGAGGAGGAGTGGGGGGAGGGAAAAAAAGGAAAGGGACAGGTGGACAGTGGCCTGGTGATATCTGGGTCCCCAGCTTCAGTCCTGCCTACAGTGAGCTGCATTGTTGGGTTTTTCAGTTTATGTGAATGATTCAGCTCCTTTTGAACACAAGCAGTTTGAATTGGGTTTCTGTCACTGACAATCACAAAACACAACAAAACAAAATCATACCTAATACACTTTTAGCTGCATAATTTCTACTACATCGAATTTCACTTGTTTACTTAATATTATATACAGGTTTTTACCTAAGACTTATGAACATTTTTATAGTTTATAAAATAATCTTGTATTTACATATCACTCAATTTTAACACAATTATGTGAGGTAGGGCATATATTTTTTTATTTAATAATTTTTTTTTTTTGAAACACAGTCTCACTCGGTCACCCAGGCTGGAGTGCAGAGGTATAATCATAGCTCACTGCAACCTTGAATTCTTGGGCTCAAAGGATCCTCCTGCCTCAGCTTCCCACAGTGCTCGATTACAGGTGTGAGCCACTGAGCCTGGCTAATTTTTTTTTTTTTTTTTAAGAGATGGGGTTTCAGGCCGGGTGCGGTGGCTCACGCCTATAATCCCAGAACTTTGGGAGGCCAAGGAGAGGGGATCATGAGGTCAGGAGTTTGAGACCAGCTTGGCCAATATGGTGAAACCCCGTGTCTACTAAATACAAAAATTAGCTGGGCATGGTGGTGCAAGACTGTATGTAGTCCCAGCTACTTGGGAGGCTGAGGCAGGAGAATCGCTTGAACCCGGGAGGTGGGGGTTGCAGTGAGCTGAGATCGTGCCACTGCATCCCAGTGTGGGCGATAAAGTGAGACTCCGTCTTAAAAAAAAAAAAAAAAAAGAGATGGGGTCTCACCTTATCACCCAGGCTGGAGTGAAGTATGCAATCATAGCACACTGCAGCCTTGAACTCCTGGGCTCAAGGGATCCTCCTGCCTTAGCCTCCAGAGTAGCTGGGACTATAGGAGCAGGCTACCATGCCTGGCTGATTTTTTGTTTTTTTGAGATGGGTCTCGCTCTGTTGCTCAGGCTGGAGTGCAGTGGCATGATCTTGGCTCACTGCAACCTCCACCTCCTGGGTTCAAGCGATTTTCCTCCCTCAGCCTTCTGAGTAGCTGGGATTACAGTCTTGCACCACCATGCCTGGCTAAGTTTTATTTTTATTTATTTATTTTTTGAGATAGGGTTTCACTCCCATTGCCCAGGCTGGAGTGCAGTGGTGCAATCTCAGCTCATTGCAAACTCTGCCTCCCGGGCTCAAGTGATTATCCTGCCTCAGCCTCCCCAGTAGCTGGGACTATAGGCATGTGCCACCGCTCCCAGCTAATTTTTGTATTTTTTTTAGAGATGAGGTCTTGCCATGTTGCCCACTTGGTCTCAAACTCCTGAGCTCAAGTGATCGGCCCACCTCAGCCTCCCAAAGTGCTGGGATTATAGGTGTGAGCCACCGCGCCTGGCCTAATTTTTTAATTTTTTGTAAAAATAGGATCTCACTATGTTACCCTGGCTGGTTTTGAACTCCTGGGCTCAAGTGATCCTTCTGCCTTAGCCTCCCAAAGTGCTGAGATTATAGGTGAGAGCCACCGTGTCTAGCCAAGAAATATATTTTATAGTAACCCAGTACACACGCACACACACAGGCACACACTCTTAAAGTTGCACAAAACAACACTTACCTTAGTGCCTTTGACATTCTCTGATATTTTCTATTCTATTTTTTAAAAATTCTGACCGGGCGCAGGGGCTCACGCTTGTCGTCCCAGCACTTTGGGAGGCTGAGGCAGGCAGATCACAAGGTCAGGAGTTCGAGACCAGCCTGGCCAACATGGTGAAACTCCTGTCTCTACTAATAATACAAAAATTAGCTGGATGTGGTGGCACATGCCTGTAATCCCAGCTACTTGGGAGGCTGAGGCAGGAGAACTGCTTGAACCTGGGAGGTGGAGGTTGCAGCGAGCCAAGATTGTGCTACTGCATTTTAGCCTGGGTGGCAGAGTAAGACTCTGTCTCGGGAAAAAAAAAAAAAAAATTCTGTTTTATTTCAGCACTTTAGAAGGCCAAGGCAGGTGGTTCCCTTGAGTCCTGAAGTTTGAGACTAGCCTAGAGAGACCCTGTCTCTACAAAAAATAAATATACGTCTGTTTTCTTGCTGTGTCCAACTCAAGAATAAAAAAAAGAAAAGAAAAGAAAAAATATACTAGTTGCAACCTACAGTTTGTTTTGTTTGTTTGTTTGTTTTGTTTGTTTTTTGCTGGAATGAAGTGGCGCCATCTCAGCTCACTGCAACCTCTGCCTCCTGTGTTCAAGCGATTCTCCTGCCTCAGCCTCCCAAGTAGCTGGGACTACCGGCAGCCACCACCACACCCAGCTAACTTTTGTATTTTTAGTAGAAACAGGGTTTCACCATGTTGGCCAGGCTGGTCCCGAACTCCTGAGCTCCAGTAATCTGCCTGCCTTGTCCCAAAGTGCTGGGATTATAGGCATAAACCATTGTGCCTGGCTGCAATCCACAGGTTTTTTTTTAATTGTTTTTTTTTAGAGACAGGGTCTTGCTCTGTTTCCCAAGTTGGAGTGCATTAGCATGATCACAGTTCACGGCGGTCTTGAACTCCTGGAGTTTTCTATTCTGTGACTACCTTGTGTTATTCTTGTCTCAATTTTTGAATGGAAGGGAATTGTTTAAGGTGTACAAGATGGAGGTGATATGGTGTGGTGGTTGAGTCTCGGCTGGTGGGTCTAACAGATTTGTGTTCAAAGCCTGGCTTTGCCACTAACTAGCTGTGTCCTTAGGCAAATTATACTCTAAGTCTCAGATTCCAATTTGCAAAATGAGAATAATAATATATAATAGTTCCTGCCCCATTAGTTTATTATGAGGATTGTTTTTTTGGTAGAGACATAGTCTTGCTATGTTGCCCAGGCCATTCTGAAGCTCCTGGCCTCAAGTGATCTGCCTGCCTCGGCCTCCCAAAGTGCTGGGATTACAGGCGTGAATTTTGGTGCCAGCCTACTATGAGGATTAATGCTTGTGAAGTGTTAAATATAGTGTTTGGTACACAATAAAAATTCAATTAATGTTGTCAGTTACTCTTAAGTATAAATTGGGGACCAGGAAGGCAAAAATGGAATGTGTTTTTTACAGACGGACAGAGGGGAGCCAGGACACAGCTCAGCTTGCTCGTGCCCAGAGAGAGTTAATTTGAAGGCAGAGGGCATGCAACTGTGTGTGGGAGCTGGACTAAGCAGCTGCAACAGGGCAGACAGTGTGAGAAAGCTGTTGATGAGAGCTGCTGCTGAATAAAATCATATTTCACCTGTCTATGGCCCCCCAAGTGTTCTTTCTGCTCATCCATCCACTACCTCTGGACCTCAACATGACTTTTGGCATAGTCTAAACCTGACACTCATAACACAGATTTTTGAGACAGGGTCTTGCTCTGTCGCAGAGGCTGGAGTGCTCTGGCATGATCACGACGCACTGCAGTCTTGGCCTCCTGGACTCAAGTGATCCTCCCACCTCAGCCTCCCAAGAAGCTAGGATGTTCCACAAGCACATTCCACTACACCCAGCTAATTTTAAAATTTTTCATAGAGATGGGATCTCCCTATGTTGCCTAGGGTAAGAATTCCTAAACTCAAATAGGCCTTTTCCTTCTGAGACTTTAGTTCCTGGGTGATCTTACAGGTGCTTCTGTTTTCCCCTCAAGTGGAACAAATTGGCCCCCAGCCCAATCTGCAGAGACAGCTTTGCCTTGGGGAATTTACCTGATGTAGAACAAAGACGGGAGACAGGCCAAGTTGTAGTTATTTGACTTTCATGATTAAGAGAGCCCTGAAGCAAAGAGACCTTTCATCTGGGTCCCTGGGCAGAAGATCCATAATTCTTTCTCCAGACTCAATGGTTGTTCTAGGTAGGAACCAGAACCACTTGCTGGAAGCCTGCCTTGACTTATTTGAATCGATTACTGCTTTTCTTTCTTTTCCATTCTAAGCTATTATGTTTTTATGGTACTAAGCAGATTTTCTTGAAAGCTACTAGAAAACTGCCTGCTACCTGAAAGCAGCAACTGTTTTCTTCTCTCCTGCTTTTTACCCCATCCCAATGCTTCTCTTTTGGGGCTTGTTATCTAAGTTATTTCCCTGAGGCAAAATTTCCCCATTCTTTCAGCTCCCCTCCTCCCAGATTGAGAAATTCTAGGCTTGCCCTGGACTTCTCTTTTTAGTCTCTGGGTTTTTTTTTCCTTTCTTTTTCTTTTTCATCAGGCACCAAGTCCGGAGTTTGCGTGGCTCTGATGTCTGCCCGTGGATCACTGATTGACCAGGCTGAAGCCAGCGGGTCCTTTAGATCCCGAGGGATAAAAGAGCAGGCAGCATTTCCACCCACGCTCTGAGACTCCTCATAATTGCATCAGTGCTGCACGTACCCATGCGGAAAATACAAGTGGACTGTCAGGCTTGGGGTTAATGGTTTCACCTCACGTCTCAGAGGAGCAGAGTCCTAGTGCACCTGTGGAGCCTGAACCAGCTTCACTCCAAGAGGAGCAGAGAAGGGAAGCAATTTCTCTTACTCCACCCCTTTCAACCACTGGCACTCACAGGTTTGCCACCTGCTCTTGCTCTTGCCAAATGGTACAGAGATGAAATCTTAGAATAAAAGTTTTTGAACTCAATACATTATTAATTAATATCTAGGAGTGGCAGATATATAATGCTTCTCTTTTCACGACAGGTCAAAGATGAAATCTGATTAGGCTTTGGAGGGCGTGGTTTGCCTCTTGAAAGTCCTTGCCAGTCTTTAGAAAGCTGTGTTGCTTAGAGCACCCAAAAGTGCCCTTATCTAACTGAGGGAGGCGCACTTGTCTTCATATATAGAGGCAGGAGCTGGCATTGGGAAAGTCAAACTAGTTCTGCACCATGAGGAAGAAGCAGCTTAAGACGGAGGCAGCGCCACACTGTGAGCTAAGTAAGTAGCCCAGGGAAGCTGCCCAGCTGAGCAGACCTGAAAGGGTGACAAGTGCAGCTCTAGCAATTTTATTTTCTAGTTATAATAGAAGTTCCCAAAGGAAAGGTTCTGGTCTGGAGGAACTTCATCAAACCTTTCTGAAACTCCACAGATGTACTGTAGCGAGAATCTCAGAACTAATTTGTGTATTTTCTTTTTTCTCCAGGAGAAATTCTGTATGAAAAACAACCTGCTCCAGGAAGGCAAGCCCCTCCCCGCCTTTTTTTTTTGGTCCCCGAGTTTGTTTTTACGTTGCACTTTATTTGAATTTTTCTCTTGGCCGTTCACACTCCTTTCCTCATTTCTCAGACTTTCTTACTAATGAAATTTTCTCCTAGCCGTTTTTACGTGAATAAAGAAGCTCCGTTACCTTTAATGCTGTAAGCAGTGCGGGGGGTCGGGGAGTGAGGGTGACGGGATAATCTAATGTTTTTGGTGGCTGTAAACGACATTGTAGAAAATTACGGTGATTTGTTAGGCCATTTATTCCCTCTTCACCAGTCTGGCAGTCATCTTCAGAACAAAAGAAGGCGTGAGGCTGAAACTGGGGATAGAGTGGGATTGCTTTGGGTAGGTAGGATAAAGTCTGGGGAGAATCGAGGCAACTGGGTGAGAAGGAGGAAAACAATTCGCTGCGGAGGCTTGGGAGGACACCGGAGGCGGTGGAACTGGCTGCACTAGCTGATGTGTCGCGGTTCCTCCCAGGTGTGGGGTGCTCTTGGTGGGGCAGCAGATACTATGATGTGGCTCTTGGGGCGCGAGGAAATGTTCCTGTCAGGTGGCTATACTTTCTTTTTGAGACAGGGTTTTGCTCTGTCACCCAGGCTGGAGTGCAGTGGCACGACCTTGTCTCACCACAGCCTCCCCCTCACAGGCCCAAGTGATCCTCCCACCTCAGCCTCCCGAGCAGGTGGGACCACAGGCGGGCGCCATGATGCCTGGCTAATTTTTTTTTTTCCTTTTTTTTTTTTTTTTTTTTTTGAGACGGAGTCTCGCTCTGTCGCCCAGGCTGGAGTGCAGTGGCCAGATCTCAGCTCACTGCAAGCTCCGCCTCCCGGGTTTACGCCATTCTCCTGCCTCAGCCTCCGGAGTAGCTGGGACTACAGGCGCCCGCCACCTCGCCCGGCTAGTTTTTTGTATTTTTAGTAGAGACGGGGTTTCACCGTGTTAGCCAGGATGGTCTCGATCTCCTGACCTCGTGATCCGCCCGTCTCGGCCTCCCACAGTGCTGGGATTACAGGCTTGAGCCACCGCGCCCGGCTTTTTTTCCTTTTTTTGAGACGGAGTTTTCGCTCTTGTTTCCGAGGCTGGAGTGTAACGGCGCCATCTCGGCTCACTGCACCTCCACCTCCCGGGTACAAGCGATTCTCCTGCCTCAGTCTCCCGAGTAGCTGGGATTACTGGCATGCGCCACCACGCCCCGCTAATTTTGTATTTTTAGTAGAGACGGGGTTTCTTCATGTTGGTCAGGCTGGTCTCAAACTCCCGACCTCAGGTGATCCGCCTGCCTCGGCCTCCCAAAGTGCTGGGAGTACAGGCGTGAGTCACCGCGCCCGGCCTTTGCCTGGCTAATTTTAAAATTTTTTGTAGAGACCGAGTCTCACTCTGTTGCCCAGGCTGGTCTCGAACTCCTGGACTCAAGTGATCCTCCCGCCTCGGTCTCTCAAAGTGCTGGTCATTACAACTGTGAGCCTCCGCGCCTGGCCTGGCTACCCTTTACAGGATAGAGCTATACCTTGTAGCTTGTCTGTCAGTACCTAAGGAATCTTATCTGTCCCCAGACTGCTAGCGGACGGGAGCTCCCCAGCCCACGGGCTGTGTGGGTCTGGCCAGAGCAAGCAGCAACTATGCAGCATGCAGCTCCCGCTGGGGGCCCCAGGGGCCGCCCCATCCAGACTCCGCGTGGGCGGAGCCTCGGTCCTCAGTCGGCGGGCCACGCGTCCCGGCCGCTGCGGGGACTCCAACCAATAGGGATGTGCGGCTGCTGTCCTATCGGCCAATCGCGGGGAGGGGAGGGCGTTGGCCAGCTTGGCGCTGGCTCCCGGAATATGGAGCCGTCGGCTCGGGGGCGGCGTGTCAGGTGGTTGCGGACCTGGTAAGGTGAGGGGAAGGCAAGGTCAGGGGTCACGGATTCTGCTCGCGGACAGGGAGGGGCGCCGGGCGGCTCGAGGGCCCGTGTCGGGGGTCAGGTCCGGGACTAGGATGCGAAACCGGCTCGCCGTGCGGGGCTGTGAGGGGAGGTGTGGGCAGGGAGGGCCTGAGGCCCGGAGTCTAGGACTGATGGAGCAGCGACATTCAGAGGAAGACCCAAAGATGGGGTCAGGGAGGGAACGCCGACGGTCGCGGGGGTCTCGCCCCTTCCCCGCCGCGGCCTAGGACACATGGCCCAACTCCCAGCTGCACCGGATGGCGCGCCGGCCCGTGGTCGGGGTGCGCTGACCTGCTTCGACGCCGTGAAAGAGGCCGACCGGCACAGGGCAAGGTCTCTCGGGGCCTCCTTGTGGGCGCCGCAGGGGGCCGGGCTGCCCTCCGGGGCCTCCCGCCTAACCGACTTCCAGGGAGCGCCTTCTGTGTGAATAGCCTGCATAGGCGGCTCCGTGGTTGTGGGTAGATTGGTTTTAAGGCTGTTTGTGCAGCTCTCAGGGACCCTCTGGATTCCAGGCTCCAGTGAGCAGGGTTTTTCTGCAGGGGAATATTGCATATATGTAAGTGGGCTGGATGGCTCTCCCAGCCGTTCGTTTCATGTGTCCCCACTTTTAAAGCTACCGCTTAAATGTGACATCTCTTGCAAAAGCAAAAATTATCTGGAAGGAGAGTTTGCAAGGAGAGATAGGCTTCTAAAAACTCGCTGGCCCCAATTTTAGTGACTGTTGGTGAAAACTGGAGAAGCTATGTATACGTTGACTTCTGGAACCCGAAGCCTCACCAGTTCGCATAATTTATTGGCTTTGTAAATCTTTGAACAAGTTGTTTGCCTCTTTGTTCTTTTGTTCCACGTACTTAAAATGGGGATTGATAATATCAATCTTAGAGGATTGTTGGTATGAAATTAGTTAATAAACAACAAAGTACTTAGAACAGTTCCTGACGTGGAGTTTTTGTTATTATTACCTTCTTTCCCCTCAACACTTCTAAAGAATTCTAACCTTACTACTTACTCTTTGCTCAGAGTATCATGACCTATCACCAGGGAACCCGCCGGCCTATACTTTCCATTGACATGATTAACTGATCTGAGGGTATAGTGTAGTTACAAGTGACTAAAGGATTTCTGCTGCGTGTTTGTTTTATTAAATACGGTTGGAAACTGTCATTATACTAGGTCATTTATGGTGATACCTGTGTTAGGTAAATGAAACCTGAGACCTTCGGCTGTTTATTTTTTCATTGGACAATAGTTCATTGACAGTCTTGCTTGGCCCACGCAGTTTATTTTGGAGCCAGTACTAAAAAGTCCATGATTGCAGCATACTTGGTTTCTCATGTTTCCGGAACGGCAGCAGTGGGACTCGGGAGGGGAATTTCTGGGTAGCCTGGCAGCACTTCTTGTTAAGGAATGGGGAAGCTTCTTATGAATCTAATCTTACTCTACTGTTAGGAAATCAGCAGTGGTCCCTTGGATTACTCTACAAAGCTAGTAAGCAGCTTTGGTTCCGTTATGATTCAGTGAAAGTTAGAGAATTATATCTACAAAGTAGGATCTTTTGATACAGAGTTTTGCTCTTGTTGCCCAGGCTGGAATGCAATGGCGCGATCTGGGCTCACTGCAACCTCCGCCTCCTGGGTTCAAGCGATTCTCCTGCCTTAGCCTCCTGATGCCCGGCTAATTTTTTTTCTTGTATTTTTAGTAGAGACGGGGTTTCACCATGTTGGCCAGGCTGGTCTGGAACTCCTGACCTCAAGTGATCCACCTGCGTCGGCCTCCCAAAGTGCTGGGATGGCGTGAGCCACTGCACCCTGCCGGATCTTTCTTGTTTGACTTTCAGTGCTAAGTATTTGGGTGAGTGTTGTTGAATCAAAGACATCTTTATTCTCTGCCTCCTCACCATGCACATACATACAAATGTCTGCTGACAGATTTGTGCCCTTCCTATGACCTTAAAAAGCCCTCTCATATTCTCGTGGTGCTATCTGGGATACTCCAGTGGAAGACTGCTTTGTCTTCTAATTCTTCCCTTCAAGGAAGCTGCTATTTATACACATAGCATTATTAGGAACTAGTCAGAAAATGAGAAACTTTATGAAAAAAAAATTGCTTACTGCAGCAGTATGCTGGCCAAATTTAGTTGAAGTGCAGATGCAGATGGTATAAGTTTAGTTGTTTAGTTTTGGAATAAGAGAGTTCAAGATTTTTTTTTTCCCCAAGACAAGGTCTGGCTCTGTAACCCAGGCTGGAGTACAGTGGCATGATCATAGCTCACTGCAGGGTTGACCTTCCAGGCTCAAGTGATCCTCCTGCCACAGCCTCCCTAGTAGCTGGGAGTACAAGTGCATGCCACCACCCCTGACTAATTTTAAAAAATTTTTTTGTGAAGATGGAGTCTCACTAGGTTTCCCAGGCTGTCTTGAGCCCGTGGGTGCCAGCCACAGTGCCCAACCAGTTTAATACTTCTTTAGGATTTAAAGTTGGAAGTTGGCCTGGTGAGAGTGAAGGACAATGTCTTTGAAATCTGTTTTTGCCTAAGAGGCATGGGAGTGACACCTTTAAAGAACTGAGTGTGTTTGAGGCAGAAAGGGAAGTCTGCTGCCCTAATATTGTCATTATTATCATCTCTATGAGGCTCTGTAGTTTGAGTAAAACATTCTGGGAAAAAAGGTAGGGGCATTTGAATGAGCGGAATGTAATGGATTAGAAGATGCAGACCATGTCTCACTTACTGGCTGCCATTTATTCTTTATTTTTATTTTTTTGAGACAGGGTCTTGCTTTTTTGCCAGGCTGGAGTGCAGTGGTGCAATATT